TGATATGCAAACTCATCCAGACGTCTTGCAATTTCTGCTTTTATTCTGTTGCTGCTCTGAGTCCACCATGTAAAGATATATGAGCTAGACTCCTTAAGGATGAGAGATTATATGGAGAGCAAACCTAGGTGACAGCAAGCACCAACTATCAGACAAATGAGTGAAGTATTTTTGAACCACCTAGCCCACATGAAGCCAACAGATGACTACAGCTACATGAGTAATATCAGGTGAAATCACCAGAAGAACCACTCAGCTGAGCCCAAGCAAGGTGCTGTTATACAAATTCATGAGGAAATAAAATGGTGGTTGTGTTAAGTCACTAAATTTTAGGGTGGGTTATTCTGCAGCAATAGGTAGGTGAGACAATTGTTCATCATTTAAAGAAAAAAATCCAGTAAAAGTAATCAGCCCAACTGGAAAATGAGCAGGTAAGTCACAAAATAAGAAACACAAATGGCTGTTGACTTTCTTGTATTAAGTACAGATAAATTATGCTTTTGCTTCTACTGCTGTAAGTAGCTTGGATGAACTCCTAAATCCAAAGCAGTGAATACAAGAAGCTAAGCTGTTTTATTGAAGGCAATAGAGGGATAAAAGATGGGAAGTGCTCATAAAGATGATAGTTAGGAAATAGAGAACAGAGACATTTTACTACATTCCAGAGTTTGGTTTGCTTTAATGTTACTGTAAAAATAATCAAATTGGTGTTTTATAATACTTGCTTAAATCTCACTGCCTTAACGAGTTCTGGCTTACTACTAAAAATATATAGAAATTCATGATTCTAAAACTGACTGAGATTTAGTGGAAAGGCAATCATTTGAATTTCAGACAAAGGAGATACCTTTATTAGTGCTATTATTGCCTATGGATTCTACATTTTGTCTTCCAGACTACTTTTATTATATATCTATATCTATATCCATGTCTATGTTTTCTCATTAACATTAATTAAATATATATGAAAGAACTAATCTGAGTATCTGATTAATATGAGACATACTTATTCTAATGAAAGAAGATTCAAAAGCAAAAAAAAGTTGATGTTTCCATGCATTTTAATGCAGCTATTGCACACAGTTGTCTAATTTCTTACTAGATAATGTAAAAATGCTGAAAACAGTTCAAAGACTTAACATTTTTATGTTCATCAGCCAGTTAACCAATATGGATAGTGTACTCAAAACACTTTACTGCCACCTCGTAACATTGTACCTATCAATGTTTTGAGCACACTCGCGCATACTAGGGGAGACAGTCATACAAAGAGTCAAAAATGTAACCCCTAGTATGCTGAAACTACAAAAAACACTTAGATAATATTTATACATGTATGTGTATGTATGTATATATAATGTGTGTATATATATACATATATGTCATAGTTAACACAGTAAGAATGTCAAGATACATTTGAAAATGTAAATTGTTAAAAGTGTTTCTCTCTCGAGTGTATGACTTTATCCAGAACTTGCAATAGAAGTATGCTTCAAATAGCTCCCCACTATAAAATAACAAAAATAAATTAAGAAGCTTCTAGCTGTGCAACCTTGGGCAAATTACCTAACCTCAGTTTCTCCATCTGAAACAGGAATAATGATAGTACTCAATTCATGGGATTTTTGTGAGGATTAAGAAAGCTAATATGTCTAAAGCGCTAAGAACAGTGCCTGCCACATAAAAGGCACTTAATAAATCTTAGCTATTATTGTTGCTTTTCTTACTACTTTATTGGGTGTCCTTGATATGTCCTTAAATAAGAATGTGTCTCTTTTTAAATGAATCCAAACATACTACAATTCGGGTAAATAAGCCCACCATTGCATATTTCTAAGACAACCTTATATTTTAGAAGGTTGTGCACAGAGACAAAAACAATAAAAATGATGTATATGGATTGATTAATTTTCTGATTATGAAGAAGGATTTTAGTAGCTCAGGACAGCATAGAACCAACAAATTTAGATGATGTTTAAGACTTGGGTTTAAAATGTCTGGTAAAAAGAAAGAATACAGTGTCCACAGTTTTGTCTTCAAATACACCTGCTACTGGCAAATTCACTTTCTGGGGCCTGAAAATGATGGACTAATAAATGTCTTTTGCAGACCTCCTCATTTGGCAGAACATTCTTCATTTGACTTATAAAACCTTTGCAGAGTCAGAGGGCCAAAGAAATAACTTTGGTCAGGAAGAGTATAAAACTTTTATAATAACAAATTACAAAACAGCAAAATTATGAACTGAACTGCTAAACTCATCATTCTGCTTGGAAAAGTGTGTGCATTGAGTGGACAGTATCACCGAACACTATTACAAGATAAGCTGAAGCTGGTGGATTAGCAGCTACTTGGGACTCAGATATTTCTAGGAGCATAACTCTTTCTAAATCCCCCATTTGTTCTGTCCTCTTGGGGCAGTTCTTCAGCCAAAGCCCCTTTTGAGAATTCAGTCCACTTCCCTTTTAGAACTGCCACTTCCACCAGCTGCTTCTCTCATTACCTTACTGTTCAAGCGGAAAAGGCCAACCCCGGGTTATTCTAATGATAGCAAACACCTCATAAAGAAATCTGCCAAATTTACTTTTCCACAGAACATCATTTCTATGGCTTTTCATGAGTCCATGAGGAAAAAAGCATCATGTATAAAATATAACTTCCAGAAATCTTGAAGATATTAAGAATTATCCCTACAGTGTTAGATTGGTGGGTGCCCCAGTCTATAGGACAGTGGCATCTTCAACTTCCCCATAGAAATTCCCTCAGTCTGTCACTGTACCTAGCTATCCACGGGAGAAGATGAGAGATCCCACAAAGTTAGGACATTTTTAGAAATATCTCAAAGTTAAAACAACTTTAAGCTTTGGGGTGTGTACTTTTCTACTGTTGGTTTTGTTCTTGCATGTAATAATCACCTTGCTTTAGTCTATCCTGGTAGAGACAAAATTTGGTGTAGTTAATCGAGAGTTTGGAATGTCTGAACTTTGACAAGTTTTTAAACCTTGCTATACCTCAGTTTTTGCATCTGTAAAGGGGCTATATTAACAGTACCATGTCTCATAAGATTATGGTTAAATTAAGTGAGTTAGATTCTGTAAAGCACTTAAAACGGTGGCACATAGTAAACACAATGGAAGTGTTTTATGAGTTTTCTCTTACGCTAAAGTTTCGCTACAAATTGTATAAAGATGTAAAAAGTGAATTATCAAAGACAATGACTATAAAGTCCTTTGGGAACAATGAACAATGCTTATTTCGTTTTATTTATTTGTTTGTTTGTTTGTTTTGAGACAGAGTCTCGCTCTGTCACCTAGGCTGGAGTGCAGTGGCGTGATCTCAGCTCACTGCAACCTCCCAAGTTTAAGCAATTCTCTTGCCTTAGCCTCCCAAATAACTGGGACTACAGGCTGCGCCACCACGCCCGGCTAATTTTTGTATTTTTAGTAGAGATGGGGTTTCACCATGTTGGCCAGGATAGTCTCCAACTCCTGGCCTCAGGTGATCCACCCGCCTCTGCCTGCCAAAGTGCTGGGATCACAGGCGTGAACCACTGCGCCTGGTTTGAGCTGATTTTAGGAGCCAAAGAATCCCCTCTGCCTCCTGGGAAAATCCCTGTTTACTTTTGCCTATGCTCCAAGTTTACAGTTGTCCCACCCCTAGACTCAAGGAAAGGTGCTAAGGTAGCGGCAGGAAATGCCTAGCTGGGCAATTCTATTCAGAAGTCAGAACTCACATTGTGTCTGACCGTCCACTATGCCCTCCCCTTGCCCTAAAGTTGAAATGGATAAACAGAATCCCATTGCTAAAGCGACCTTCAAAGGGGAAGATCCTTGGGAGAAAGACTTTGCTACGAGTTTAAAAGCCCCAGGTAACACTGGCCCAAATCACTACCAGTGCCTTCACTGCACCTTCCCCACGACCAAGGGGGCAACCGGGGGACCTCAGGCGAGGCCTCTGGAGGAACACTGGAAGCAAGGGAACCCTGAGGGTGAGGAGGGGGTGCCTGGCTATTCTCCTTGGGAAATTATGTCCTGACCTTTGGCATTGCTTCCTGAAGGGGTAGACTCCCGGAGTTCTTTCTCCCAAAGACTTCAGGGATATCATCCTGTGAAGTCTCCTTGCGTCCCTCCAGCCTCGAGTAACATTACTCAGCCTCCGAAGGGCAACGAAAGACTGGTAGCACCCCCAAGCAAGCATATCTCCACACTTCCTCTGCTCATCCCAAACCTCGCTCCCTCCCACCTCCTCACCAACTCTGCACCTGACCCGTGACCGACAGAACTGAAGGAGCGCAGCTGGCAGAGTTGGAAGCCGGGTGCAGCCTCCAGGCACGTGCCCCCGCTCCGCCTCTGCCTAAGTCAAGTGGCCCGGGCAAAACTACTACCAAAACAGTTGCTCTTAGGTGGGGCGGGGGACCCGCCTCCTTGCATCCACCAGGCACTAGCTCAGCACCCCCGCCCCACAAACCATCCCCGCAGCCGCGCACGCCCCTCTCCGGCGGCGCACTCACCTGCAGTTGGGCTCGGCTGGCGTTGCCCGCGGCCGCGTCGGGCCCGTCTGCGGCTCCCGAGCCGCGCAGCACGGTGATGTGCAGCGTGAGCAGCAGCAGCCCCAGCAGCAGCAGCAGCTCGGCCGCCAGGCGCACCATCCTCTTGAGACGCGCGGCTTTAGGACCCGGCGCGGCGGCCGGCGGCGGCGCCGGGGGAGGAGGAGTAGGAGCCCGGGAGCCCGGCAGCACGGCTCCCGCCTCGGCTCCCGCCAGGACTCCGCTTCCCGGGCCTGCGGGGCTGGCGCAGGGCGCGGCGGGGCGTGCGGGGCCGGGGGAGCAGGAGCCGCCGCCGCCGCCGCCGCCGCACCACGGCGGAGCCACCGCGAGGCCGGGGGTGTCCAAGCCGGCTGCGGAGCAAGCCCCGGCGCTGCCTGGCGGCGGCGGCGGCGAAAACTGGGTCCCGGGGCTGCCTGGGACCCGGACCGGGCCGGAGGCCACCCTGCTGGCAGGGGGCTGCGGGGTCGGCGGCGGGGCGGGCGCAGCCGAGCCCCCGAGCGCACATGGGCGCCCCAGATGTGGCCGCGGCGCCGCAGCTGGAGCGGGAGAGGCCGCCAGAGGAGCGCGGGGAGGAGGAGGAGGAGGAGAGGAGGAGGAAGAGGAGGAGGAGGAGGAGGAGGGCTTCAGCTGCGGCCGGGAGTTACCTCCACGCTTGGCTTCCCCGCCCTCGCCGCTCCGAGCCACTCACCCGGCAAGCCACCTCCACTACTCTCCGCGCTCCTCGGGGCCGCCTGCCGCGCCGCCCCGCACACAGAGTCCCGGGGAGGGCCGGTTCCAGATGGGGGCCCCGGGCACACCGAGGTTGGCACGGTTTGGGGGTAGCCGGGGCGCCCTCGGCGTCTGCGTCCGCCTGCCGGGCTGTACCAAGTGCCCACTGCCGAGGTCGCTGTGGGGGGCGCGGGTAGAGCCCCTGTGCTCACTGAGGTTCGGGGCTGTGGGTGGGTGGGATGGTGCCTGGGCTGCTTTAGAAACCTTTATTGCAAAATGGAGCTGGAGTTGCAGTGATGGAAAACGTAGGGGGCGCCGGATAAGCCAGGTGTCTGCGTGCGATCCCTGCCCGAAGCAGTCGGGGGAGGAGAGGAGTGCCAAAGTATCCTTCCGAAGGGTCTTGACACTTGCTGGGCCGCCCGCTAGCCGGGCGCGGCTGTTCGCGGGTCCGCGGCGCCCCGTAGAGCCTGGGAAGGGAGGGGAGTCCAACTCGCTGGGCGTCCGTCTGGTGACCGGCGCAGGTGTTGGCCGGAAGCTGCAGGGACTCAGGGCCCGCGGCTCAGGCGCTCAGGAACTGGGATTGTATCTCGGCTCTAGCGGGCTTGCGTCTAGGGGGCTTATCCCGGGGGTGCCGCGACCAGAGGGGATTTGGGGGCTGGCGTCGCGCAGCCGTCGATCCCGGGCCACCACCTCATGGCCGCGCTGCAGCCTCGGGCTCCCGCGTGCGGCTCATGCTTTGCAGGGGGCGGTTGGCGAATGGAAGGGCTCCGGGATGGGGCTGAGGGCGCAGAGTCCTAGCGTCGGATGCTAGAGCGAACTGGGTCCGTCCGTGGCACCGCGCGCTTCCCTCCTAGATCTTGCTCGGCCTCCCGCCTTACCCAAGTGGCTCAGAGTAGCGGACTCTCCGTCCGGCCGGGCCTTTTATACTGCGCTTCCCCGCCTCCTACCCGTTCCCTCCCTTCCTCCTCCCCAGCGCCAGCCCAGCCCTTCCCTCCCTGCGAGCCAGGACCTAGTCCATGCCTTCGCACACATCCGCTTCGCACATTTCCAAGCCCTTCCCGCGTCCCGGACGCCAGTGCCTCCGGGATGGAGCCTCCGAATTCTCCTTTGGTGAATGAAATTAAATAAATAAGCAACACTTTCTTGACGGCACGCCTCCCTTCCCCCCTCCCCAATTTCCTACCTTCCTCCTCCGCGCCCTAGAAAGATTTAAGATTCTTAATTCAACGGCTTTCGAGTTCTCCCAAGGCATCTCAACCAAGTATTATCCATATTAAGGCAAACCCTTGCTCGGTTCCGAAGGTTCCTCCGGTCACCGCGGCACTTTGCAGAATTTAAATAGCGATGGCTAAGGTAGGGTTTGTTGCTTGGACTTATTTGTGCCCGGGAGAGGAAGGGCTTGCTGCCTCTTTAAAGATGCCTGAAGCGTCTTTAAAATTCTAACTAACTCCAGCATCTTATTAATAAATTGGCAGCTGTTCATAGAGTCTGCTATATCTTTTCCTTTTCAGTTTTTTGGTTTTTTTGGGTGGGGGGAGGTGCGAGGGAAGAGGGGAGATGTTTGGAGGGGTACTTGCTTTGGATTTGTAGGCAGCCGGGCCTGTCAGACATCTTATTTCTATCTCTAGGCTCTAAAATGCCAATAATTGTCACTGGAGTGCGGGTCGGGGGGAGTGGGGGTGGGGGGAACGTGAAACAATAACCGTCCAGGGTAGTTCAGATGGGAGATCAAAGAGGGGATCCCAGCAGCCTTTAAATCCTGGAAGGATCCTCCTGTGTGTTTTCTAATTAGGATCACTTAAAAGGGAAAGGGCTGGAGAATCAGCGCCGAAATAGAATATCTAAATTAAGATGGCAAACTAGAATCCCATAGCCAAAGAGTTTTAAGGATGGTTCTAACCTCCAGTTGTGCCAGATTATGATATGGGCTCGCAGGAACAAATGACTTTCCTATTGCCAGAGGCAGGCTGGTCTGAATTAGGATCCGGGGCCGCTGTGTCCTGCCCTTTCATCACACACAGTCTCCACATGTAAGCCTCAGCTGCCTCTCCTCTCATCTGAAAGTAACAGTTTTGGACCCAAGGAAAAAAATGACCTTTAAAAAACTCTGGAAAGAAACCTTTGCAATGAATGTAAATTCTTGTGAAATTGTAAATGGAGATTTGGAGATCAAAGTCTTTGTAAAATGTTGTAAAAATTGTAAATTGAATTTTGGGGACAGATGTCTTTATAAAATGTTGAACAAATGTATGAATGAATCCTATTAAAATCCCTTCACGCTGAGAGATCCCCATTCCAGGTGAGTTTATGTTCCAGTAAGCACACATAATGAGTATTGATAAACACCCGGGCTCTATGATTCCACTTGCCAAACCAGGCTTGCCAGCAGGGCTCTGTTTTTGAGTTAGGGAACACGGGCTTACAATTTTTGTGGAAAAATAATTAAAAATTTAATAGACTAAACCAATTAAGTTTCAAGCACATTTATGAAATTGTATCAATAGCTGATAAAATTTTTTAAAATCCTACCTCCTTCAGCAGAGTGTCCAGAGCACCCTATCCATATGTTTATTATTGATTTTATGACACTTGGGGCACTTGTGTCTGCATGTCTGTCTGCCCACTAGACCTTGATTGGGATCACCTTTGTGGTAGAACATTTCAGAGCATCCTCCAACTCCCCACCTCCATCACCTCCATCCCAGTATCGAGTTTCTTTCTGGGTTCATGGCTATGAGACATTTTCTAGGTGTACTTGGGTCTAGGTTTGGACTGTGAAGAGCTTTTTTCCTTCCCGGTCTGACCATAAAACATCCTGAGTGATTATCTGCACACACTCTCTCTTTCCTTTTTTTTTTTTTTCTTTTTCATTCATTCTTTTTTTTTTTTTTTTTTTGACAGAGTCATTCTGTCGCCCAGGCTGGAGTATAGTGGTGCAATCTCAGCTCACTGCAGCCTTTGCTTCCCAGGTTCAAGCGATTCTCCTGCCTCAGCTCCCTGAGTAGCTGGGATTGCAGAATCCTGCCCCCATGCCTGGCTGATTTTTGTACATTTTAGTAGAGAGAGATTTTCACCCTATTGGCCAGGCTGGTCTCAAACTCCTGACCTCAAATGATCCACCCGCTTCGGCATCCCAAAGTGCTGGGATTACAGGCATGAGCCAACGTGCCCAGCCCTCTCTTTCCTTTCTACATGGCAAAGGACTCTGAGGTGAAAGGAACTCAAATTGAGTTACTGCTCAAAAGAGAACAATTGGACCAGGAATATCTGCATTGAACCTTGCACAAGTGAGAGAAAACTTTATTCACAGACATTGTGATGTGGGGATGTGTGCGCAGCAGCTGGTAGAATAGTACCCATCCCGACAAGTATAATCTTTGAGACAATGCCTTGCACAGAGTAATTGCTCAATCAGTGTTTTAAAAATGCATGTAACAAATCTGGTATTTGTTTATGCCCCAGTTAATAGATTACCTTTCATTAGAGTGCTTGTATTCTAGGTGTCTGACATTAATTTTTATAGCTATTCTGCCTCTTGATTGTACTATTCTCACGTAGAATTTGTCTTTCATTATTAGTCCGATTTATCTTACAGGCAGGCTTATTTGACTGGAATATTTTGAGGAAGGAAGAGAAATGAATAAGCCAGAACACCTGTAGTTAATATCATTGCAGAGAACCTTGTGGCCTATTATGACCAGGATTTTATTGTTTTTTTATTTTATTTTGCTAAAGATTGGTGCAACATAGCAAATAGTAGTTTCAATGTAATCCTTAATTTTTTTTTTAGTATGGAAAGTTTTAAATATATACGAAAGGAAAGAGAATAATATAATAAATCCTTTCATACTCATAAGCTGGCTTCAACAAAACTTATGGCCAATCTTGTCTTACCTGTATTCTCAATATTTTCATACATTTCCTCCCTTTCAGATTATTTTAAGCAAATTCATGATATGTAATTTCATATGTACATATTTCAATATGCATCTCAAAAAGGTAAGGGCTCAATTAAGCAATGTTTTTTAAACACAGGCATATTGAATCTGAGCTTTAAAACAGATTTGAGAAGTCACAGCCAGAGACTTTTTCTGGGTGTAAGAACGATCAGAATTTAGGGATTGTGGTGGAGGCTGCTCTGTGTTCACAAAAACCTGTTTCCTCTTCCTCCCGGGCATTCTAGTACACTTCATTTCTCGGTACCCTATGCATGTGACTGAATTCTGGCCAATGGAATATGGGTGGATTAATGTGTGTCCCTTCCAGATCTAGCCCAGGAAAACTTCCTGTGCATGATCTTTTCTTTTTTACCCTTGTCTGCTGGCTGGATGTTTTTGCCCAGGGTGACCCTAGAGCAATGATCAGTCTGGGTCTCTGGAACAGAGTCCCTACCTGACCCCTACATCTGCCCAAGAACACCCTGGCTGGGCTGTTGTGTAATTGAGAAATAAACTTTTTTAAAAAAATGTGTGAAGCCATTAAACTTTTGTGGTTTGTTCCAGGAACTTTCATTACCCTAACTAGGGGGCAATGTTCTGAGGCTGGAGGGATGGCAAACTTTTTCCTTAGAGGGCGAGATGGCAAATTTTTTTTGTCTTTGTGGGCTACAAGGTCCCTTTTGCAATTACTCAACTCTGGTGTTGCAGTGGGAAAGCAGTCACAGAAAATACGTGAAGGAATGGGTACAGCTGTGTTTTAATAAAATTTCATGTGTACAGCTAGGCAGCTGGACCACATGACTTAGTTTGTCAACCGCTGTCCTAAGGGACTGGCACAACCTCACCACCTTGTTTGTTTTAGAGGCTATATATGAAGGAATTAGTCAGATGGACTTCACTTACTATTTTATCTCCCTAGTCTCAGTTCCCTCATCTGCCTCATCTGTAAATTGGGGCTGAGAATGTGTACTCTCAGGCTGTTGTGAAGTTCAACAATTACTCTCACGTGGAGGAAAAAGCAAGTCATTCTGGGTCTCTAGGTCTGATGGATACGGGACTCCACATTCTGTCCATGAGGGCAGGGCACTTGTTTGCCTCATTCACTTCTGAATTCACACAGTAAATACTCCATAAATATCTATTCAATGAATGAAACTTGTAGAAAGCTGTTGAAATTTGGAACTCCGAGGAGCCTTAGAGGTAAACTGGAAGCCCTCAAGGAAACACAAACAAACAGAAAGCCTGAAGTGTTGTTCTGTTAGAGCCTCTCCTTTGAACTATGAAGGGGTCACAATTCTCAGAAGTGAGAAAATCACCACAGTCAGAGGTGCTCCTAGGGTCTCCACCCCTGAAAGCAGCTGCTAGGCTTGTGGGACACCTGGACTGCCAGCAACGTTGCACTTCCCTATCCTCCAACACACACAAAACCTAGGAAGACTGGGGGGACACCTGTGGCTCTTTTCACTTCATGCTAAAAGCCCCTAGCTATACAAAGAGTCCATGAGACCACCAAATACGTGAGTTTCGGAGGAGGTCAAGAAACTATCCAGAGGGAGTGCTATTTTTTCCCCAGGACAAGGCTGGAGTGGTGGTGAAATAGGACCCGCTTCTTGGAAGGATTCCTGATGATTCTCCCTGACATGCCAGATTCCTTTACTGCATTTCTGTTGTGATGTTAAAACATAATAACCTGCTCCTCCAGTGACCTCTTCTGCAAATAGCCAACCCTTATAGTTCCCACCTGCATTGAAAAGAGACCCCTTTATTGCATTTGCTTTGTTGTTATTATTTCCGTGCAAATTCTGGAAAGCACAATAGAATCTCAGGCAACATGTTATAACTAGGGGAGAAAAGTGCATCATAATTACAAGGTTTTGTAATTTCCAGGCAAAAAAGAGGACAAACTATTTGGTCAGAATTAAATCTTGGAGTCTAGATGTTGGGAGGGTTCCACAGAGTTCATTTAGCTTCCTTTACAGATGAGGCAACAGGCCCAGAAAATTAAATAGACATTCTCAATATTGCACAGGGACTTGGTGGCAGCATCAGGACAAGAGCCCAGGTTTCCTAACTTCCAAGACCAACGTGCTTTCTGTTTCTGAAAGTAAACTTTCAAAAATTAAAGTACGCTGTACATATGGAAAAGACCACATATCCTGGCTGCATAGCCGAATGGAATTTTCACTATGCAGATCAAGAAACAGAATGTTACCAGTACCCCAGAAGCCAATTACCCAAAAGTTACCAATATTCTGACTTCTCTCACCATACATTTGATTTGCCTTTGAAAATTAATTCATCAAATTTTACAGTATATACTCTTTTGTGTCTGGCTCCTTGTGCCATCCTCTATTGCTCTCCCCAGCTTTTTGCTTCAAAATAAATTGAAAACTATAGAAGAGTTGCAAGTATAATTGAATGAACATCTGTAGTTCCTTGTGGTAGACTGTTTAAAATGACCACAGTTTTCTCCCCATTGTCTCCAGGCTTTTTACAAGCTGGCTTTGTATCCCTGGAAGCCTTGTGATTTAGTTTCACTAACAAAATGCATCAGAGGTGATTTTGTACCAGTTCTGTGGTTAAGCTTCAATAAGCTTTACATGCCCTCTTTCTCCCTCAATCTCTCTCTCTGTCTTTCTGTCTGTCTGTCTCTCTCTCTGTCTGTGTGTGTGTGTGTGTGTGTGTGTGTGTGTGTGTGTGCGCGCGCGCGCGCGCGCGCGCGCCTCCGTATCGGAACTTTCCCACTGCCATGTGGATAATCCAGGACTAGCCTCCTGGAGTGATCCTAGTCACCACTGTTGCCCCAGCTGACACCTGCCTATTCTCAGAAGCAGAGCCGCCCAGTAGACCTGCAGTTCATCACAGACACATGAGAGAGATTAAAAGAACCCAGCTGAAACCAGAGAAAGCACCCAGGTAAGCTGCGCCTAAATAGAATGAGAGGTGAAATGAATGGTTGCTGTTGCGAATAGGGTAGTTCATCACGCAGGGCAACCTGCTAAATACAACCCTTCACCTCAAATACTACAGTAGGCATTTCTTAAGAGTAAGGAGATTCTCCTACATCATCACAGCATAATTCTCATACTCAGGACGTTTAACATCGACACAATAATATGATCTAACTTATAAACCACATTCAAATGGTTCCAATTGTCCCTACAATATTCTTTACAGTAACTCTTTTCTGTCCAGGATTCTGATGAGAATCACTCTGCATTTAATTGTCATTGTCATGTCTGTTTATCACCTTCGGTCTTCAACAGTCCACATCTCCCACTCCTCCTTTTTCTTTGGGTCTTTTGTGCCGTTAACATTCTTTAAAAGCCTAGGCCAGCTGATTTTGCAGAATGCCCTTCAGTTTATATTTGTATGATTGTTTCTCTAGGATTAATTTCGGATTGTGCGTTTGGGCTAGGAATGCTGCCTGGATGTTATGTTCTTCTCAGTGCATCACATCAGGGAATCCGTGATGACATTTTTCCCAGTTGTGGGTAAATCTATTTCAAGATATGGAGATCCTGAGTCATTTTTGTGAGGTTAAATGGGAAGAGCTCTTGATTGAAAATATGTCAGTGTGTTGGCTATCTTTTTCTTATGTGTGGAGAAAGGGGAAATATGAGTTCATCTAATTTCCTGGGAATTTACTTCACTTTGTTCCAAGTTGTTTGTCAACATCATCCAACTCCCTCAGGGCAGTGGGCTGTGACCATATTAGAGGAGGGCTGTCCTCAGGGTGAACTCTATGAATCAGTAATTTTGTTTGCTGTAATCTAAAGTCATTATCAATCCATTCTTAAAAGCTTAGCCTTAAATTCTTTTTTTGTTCACCTTTTTTGGGGAGCAAGTCAGGCTTAGTGTAAGACAAAGGAGAAATAAATTTGTTGTTCATGAAAATTGTTTTTAGTGACTTAA